CAATTTTAGATGATAACCTTAGAGAGAGAGAGCAGATTATAATTTTTATCTACTTTATAATTTAAGAAGGAGCCACGGTGGCACAATGGTTGGAATGCAGTACTGCAGACTGATTCTGCCTACTGCCGAGAGTTCAATCCTGACCGGCTCAAGGGTGATTCAGCCTTCCATCCTTCCGGATTTAGTCAAATGAGGACTCAAATTGTTAGGGGCAATATGCTGATTCTGTAAACGCTTAGAGAGTGTTGTAAAGCACTATGAAGCAGTTATAAATCTAAGTGCTATTGCTATTTTTCATGTCTCTTTTTTTACTTATTACTCCTCTTTCAAAATCTGTATTTTTATTCTTTTAAAAATGTATTTAATAAAAACTATATTAAAACAGATTGCTATTCTAATATAAAATTCCCCCAAAATCATTTGATACTTGCTTTCTGTTCTTTTTCTTCCTGCAGCAGAAACAGCAACAGATGAAAAGTGTGATAAGGATTATTCCTCCCACTACCGACATGGTAATGATGAGTGCTTCAAAATTCACTGAAATATTTAAATACAAAAAAGTTAGTGCCCTAGTTGCCAAAGAAGTATTCATTTAATCAATTTAGAGCCCTAATTGTTTATTTAAAAAGATAAATTATTTCAAGCGAAGATTGAAAGCTTATATTGTGAGGAACCTATATACATTAGAGCAGTTTCATACAAGTGAGTTATGAAGAAGCAAATTAATCCCCCCTGCAGTAAAAAATAATTGAATATTTAGTTTCAGTGGTGGCTGATTTCCCCCCACCAATATTTTAACATTCATAGTCATGAATATGAAATTTGGAAATACATGTTCATGACTATGAGAGTTAAAATGGGGGGGATCAGCTGCCACTGAGATTACTGCCCCCCCAAAAAATTTAACTCTCATAATCATGAATATGAATTTTCAAAATTAGAAGCTGCATATTTTCTAGTTACCAAATGCTACAATCAAGCAGAGAATGATACAATGCAGTCATATCCTGTTTATTTATTTTTTCATTAGATTTTTATCCTGCCTTTATTACTTTATAAATAACTCAAGGTGGCGAACATATCTAATAATCTTTCCTCCTCCTATTTTCTCCATAAAAGCAACCCTGGGAGATGAGTTAGGCTAAGTGTGTGTGAGTGGTCCAAAGTCATCCAGCTAGCTTTCATGCCATAGACAGGACTAGAACTTACAGTCTCCTGGTTTCTAGACCTGTACTTTAATCACTACACCAAACTGACTTTGTTTGCAACTCCTTGTGCAATCACCACAAGCTTAATATTTATACTGATTAGCAACTGATCAATTTTTAATCTATTAAATATTTATATGATACAACTGGGAAATACTGATGCTGATACTAAAAGAGGTTCTCTTCCTATCATCTTGAAAGCCATGGTAATTTGAACTGTTAAAAAGTTAATCCTACAAGAGTTTATAGTAATATGAAATATTTGCGGGAGGAAGAATATTGTCTGAAACTTAGCATGCTAAAGACAACTAAAAGAAAATTTCTAGAGTGAACTTACCCCAACCTACGCCCCAGCGTGCAGAGCTCAGTTCACAAAGAGAACTTGGAGGGAGGATATTCCGAACAGGATACTCCACGCATTTTTTGCTGCTGCTGCACCATAAACACTGGAGGGGGGGGGGAGAATGTGATTAAATAACACAAGCTAAGAGAGATTGCAAAAGTCAATAAATGAATCTGTATTTTATTATGCATTACAAACTTTTGAGGCGTTGCTTATGTCACATGCCTTGAAGCAGCATGCAAGTCAAAGAATAATAAAAATCAACAGTACAATAAAATTTGTATCAATACAATAATAATGAATCACCAGCTTCCTATGTATCAAGAATGAGAGCCAAAGGCCCATTTCTGGTGGCAAGACATTCTATAATAGGGGAGCTTCAGCCGAAAATGATCACTTCTAAGTCCTGTCATGTGTGATTGGGAATCCTTAGTACATACTCTCTGTTGGCATGCCTTAAGAAGATTTTATTTCAAGTAAGTAGTCTGGGAGATGTTCAGGCTTCAAGCTATATAGAATCGTATGGGCTATCACCAGCACCTTGAATTATACTGAGAAATTAACTGGTAATCATGGAACCAATTTTATATGGCAATAACAAGTTATCAATGCATGTAGGTAGATTGCTATCTTTGCTATGTCTGGATTTCTAGATGGCGTAAGTTAATAAATTATCCAAACTGTGACAAAGGATGAGTGATCTGTATTAGATAAGAACAGTCATCAGTGGTCCACTTGCTGGGCAAAGGGCTCAATGTAGATGTTAAATGAAATAAAAGAATCAAGCATTGTGGCATTTCATACTGAATACACAATGGCTCAACCTTTCTTCTCCCCATCACCCCTAACTGAAGAAAGAGCAGAGCCACTATTAAACAGTGTTCCCAATTCCCATCCCTTTCAGTCTAGGCATCCAGAAGGATGATATTATTTTTGAGGCTATTAAAGACTACCAAGAAATCCAACAGGATAGGGTCATGGTCCTCATCCAGGTCCTGCCACAATCACCAGCAGAAATCACCAACACAGTTTCTGTCCTATACTTTTAGAAACATTTGTTTGCCCATGAAGAAAACAGGATGCTATTCATTAAACCAATTCAGCAATGCTTATCAAAATGCTGAATTTAGCACATAATATGCCAAGAGAGTTAAAGAAAAAAAATCCAATTCAGAATTTTAAAGAAAAAAAGGAGCACACAAGTTGTCTTTTGAAAAACATTATGCAATAGTATTATGAAAAAGATACTAAAATTTATAAACAAGAACATTTACAAAGTAAAGAACAGAGAAACAAATAGGTAAAAACTTGTGAACAGCATTTCATCAGTTAGTTATAAACCCTTCGGATATAAACCTTTCGGATAAGCAAGATTTCTGTTAATCAGTACAAGTATTTTGTGCCCATGGGGTACAGCAAGTCCAATTAAGTTCCAGAACTGAATAACATTTTTGTCCTAATCTGGCATCAAAGGCTTTAGAAATGCTTGATTTAAGAACTTTAACTTGCAAACATACAGGCAGGCTTAACTGACAGGTTAATTAAAAAGTGAGCTCTGTCAATGGCTGTTAGCTAAAAATTAAAGTAGAGCATTTCTCAACTTCCATCAAGACTTTTCTTCAATCTTTGCCTCATGCCTTATAAACGTTAAGTCACACTAGATCAGTGGTTCTCAACCTGTGGAGCGGGACCCCATTTGGGGTCGAACGACCATTTCACGGGGGTCGCCAAACAAGGCTGTCCGCCATTTCCCCCCCTTTTCTTTGGCCACGCCCCTGGCACCCGGTGATGTATAAGTGGTTGGGGGTCACCACAACATGGGGAACTGTATTATGGGATCGCGGCATTTGAAAGGTTGAGAACCACTGCACTAGATGCTGCATATCCTGTTTTTTAATATTCATCAAGATAGTCTTTTCCTCCTTTCATTTTCAGGTAGTTATAATAACGGCCACCTGTTTAAGGAATAATCTGTTACCAAGATAAACTGTCACTATTCGAAATACACTGATTCAAAGTTACATATTTTCTTGTATCATGCAGAGTGCATCACTTTCCTAATGGAACCTGAAGCTTTTCATATTGTCATAATGTGTACATCAGTACATTGTTTGATAAATACAATTTTCATATTTAATATAATATTAGAGATTCTTCAGCTTTACATGTTTCTTTGTTGGAATACATGTTGTGCTCACTCTATAAAGCAATATAGACTATATAATGACCTTCTTTGCAGTGATTTGTAGTCATTTTATCCACTTTCCATCATGTATTTCAGTTTTTTGATTATTTATATTTCAAATAAGTATTAAAATGTATCAATGCAGTTTATTATTGTACACAATGCTTAGTAAGCAAATTAGCTGAAACATAAACCACAGAAGATAACAGTAACCTCTAACTTTAATGGATTAAGGAGGGAAATGTGTCTGGTGTATGCAAATATCCTTTGGAGGATGACTGGATTTTGTTTGCATGCATAGCACCACTATACACATTTATAAAGTAGCCAATTGGACTTTATGCACGTGTAACATGGCAAAGTGTCTGCTCCACTGTATCTGCTAAACTGAGTTGCAATGCAGGCTTTACTATGATGATCGTAGGAAACAAAATTATTGCTGAAGAGACTTTTTTACAACTCCTATTCTTCATAATACCTTATTAGGTGTTACTTTTGTACAGGAGGCTTCCCTGCTCCTGTCAAACAACAGAGCTATAACACTGATTCTTGGATAGTGTGGAACTTAGTTTGGAGTTTAAAATATTGTTAACTTTATATATTTCAAAAATGTATCCATTTCAATTTCAAAAGTGTAAAAAGTCAGCTTAGATCATTGTTTTTCCAAACAATTAAATACAATAAAACTTATTTTTAACAACTGTAAACATTTTCTGCTTTCCCCTAGTATTTGTTTCATATAAATTTTATAGCAAGTTGTTGATGATGATGATGGTAGTCGTAGTAGTCATAGTAGTAGGAGTTGGAAGGGACCTTGGAGGTTTTCTAGTCCAAACCCCTGCTTAGGCAGGAAACCCTATACCATTTCAGACAAATGGTTGTCCAGTCTATTCTTAAAAACTTCCAGTGTTGGAGCATTCACCATTTCTGGAGACAGGTTGTTCCACTGGTCAATTGTTCTGTCAGGAAATTTCTCCTTAGTTCTAGATTGCTTCTCTCTTTGGTTAGTTTCCATCCATTGCTTCTTGTCCTGCCCTCAGATGCTTTGGAGAATAGCTTGACTTCATCTTCTTTGTAGTAACCCCTGATATTGGAACACAGCTATCATGTCACCCCTCGTCCTTCTCTTCATTAAACTAGACATATCCAATTCCAGCAACCGTTTTTTATACTGTATGTTTTAGCCTCCAGTCCTCTAATCATCTTTGTTGCTCTTCTCTGTACTCTTTCTAGAGTCTCAACATCTTTTTTTACATCGTGGCGACCAAAACTGGATGGAGTATTCCAAGTGTGGTCTTACCAAGGTATTATAAAATGGTATTAATATTTCACATGATCTTGATCTATCCCTCTGTTAATGCAGTCTAGCTCTGTGTTGGTTTTTTTGGCAGCTGCAGCACACTGCTGGCTCATATTTAAGTGATTGTCTACTAGAACTCCGAGATCCCTCTCACAGTTACTACTGTTGAGCAAGGTACCACTATACTGTACCTGTGCATTTGGTTTTTCTTGCCTAAATGTTTTCACCACTGAATTTCATTTTGTTAGATAGCGCCCAAGTGTGTCAAGATCCTTCTGTATCTTAAGCCTATCTTCTGGAGTGTTGGCTATTCTTGCCAACTTGGTGTCGTCTGCAAATTTGATGGGTTCCCCATCTATTCTCTCATCCAAATCATTGATAAAGATGTTGAAGACCACTGGGCCCAGAACAGAGCCCTGGGGCACCCCACTACACACTGATGACCTTCATTTTTCATGTTTTTGCTTTAACCTTCCTATAAGCTACTCTATTACATAATCATCTTTTTATGCCATTTTCCTCTTTAACTAGCTTCTCTTTGAATAAAGTAATTTCTGTTCTCTTTTACAGGGTAATATCTCCCTTTCACACTACTAAGATGGCACATGTCATGCATCTGACTCTCCCATGCTGATGTCTTGCATTTTATTCTTCTTTTTTGCCACCCTTCCAACCTATCTAAGACAAATGTTGTTTAAGATTACTCATTCTCTCGGTTCCGTTTTTAACTTTGTCTTTCACACAAATGAGTAGAAATGGATTTCCAGAGTATCAGCCTAAAAACAATTATGAGATTTAGTACAAACAGCAGGCTTAGAAGAATGAAACCTTCCCAAAACATTAATCTAGACAAATCATGCAACAGAATACTAATATTTAGTTTTATACTACAATTTAGTTTTATACTACAATTCCAACCAGATGGGAACCAAAATTCAGACCTGAGTATCCTGTGCCATACCAAACATTTCTACTCCTGGAATGTACACAACAAGGTTGTGAAGAATAAATGCTATAATTCATTCTCCCTTTCAGATGATTATCACAAAGCAGCAGCAAGAACACAGTATGCTTCTCAAATGCACTCATTTTTACTCTCTTCATCTGAAAAGAAGGTAGCTTCACCAGTGCAGTTGCATATTCTGCAGAGCAGGAGACCTTTTGGGGCCCACTAGTAATTAACAGCTCAAGTATTGAAACATTCAGTACCCAATTCTCAGAATAAAGTCCAATGGGTCCAATTTCCAAATTAGAATACACAGACCTGCAATATAAATGTAGTTAGGCTAATTACCTAGTAAGATTACTTTTGCACTATTTTGAGTTTCCTTTTAGAAATCCTTTTTAAGTAGAAAGCATAAACATAAACTAGAAATAAGACAGATGTACTTAGGTTTCTTTTGCATGACAAACTTGGTTTTTTTTTTTAACAATAGCCAATCCATTGTGCAAACAAATAAATGGAGTAGACATTTTATGGCTGAGCAGCATTTCACCATCTTATTACTCATATTATTAAATTATCTGTAACCTCAAGGCATTCTTGGAAATTATGATGATAATAGAAGCTGGAGCTTTTCATCCTATTGTTGTTATAAGTATTAGCAATGATATAAAGTCAGATGAAATGGGGAACTCATCTAGCACCAAGGAAGATATATCTACAAGCACATTGATATCCCTAGGCATCCTACTGAAGAATCTGATGTATGAATCTGAATTACATTCATAAGTAATATACCATTTCTGTATAATTAATATCTAACTTTCAAGAGCAAATCTTCCTTCCTCACTCTTTAGCAATAGCTTAGGTTCTATAATTATATGATTCAAACTGTTTCTAAACAGAATTTAGCAACAGTTTGAAATAGGCTGTGAATATGTTTTTCAGAGCATTATAGTAGTACAAGAAAGGAAATTGCAGTATTTTCTTGAAATTTAACTTATCACATTTTTAAACAAAATAAAATAAAGAATTCTGCTTGAAAATTATTAAGACTTTTTTCTACTATGTTACCATTCCTAGTCTTAAATAAAATATATAGATATAGCCACCTGGTTCTATTTCAAGAGTCCACTATCTACACAGTCATATGATATCCTAATCAGGAAGCTGAGTAAATATGTACATACACTTTATAGCACATGCAGAAATAATTTTTATGATACTAGTTTTAGTAGTTTATAACACAGGAACTTGCTATATAAATCAGAATATCTGAATGCTCTAGATTAGGCTGCCCTTGAAATCACTGCATGAAGCAAGTGTAGATCAGGATTTTATTTAGAGATGTTTTCTAATCATGTTACTTACTGTGACATTTTTCAGGCATTCTTCACAAGTTTTATTTGTGTACTTCTGGCACCCCACTGTGAAAATAAATTGATTAATAATTAAGTTAATCTCTTCATTTTCCCAGCTTTCCTCCTGATTTTGTTTATTTTGTTTTTGTTTATTTTGTTTTGCAATCAGACATAAAGCTGGATCCTTTGTGACTGAATGTCCAGAATCAAAGCTATTTGTAATAATAGCTTACTTCTTGTTTGGAGAGATAACAGTAAGTCAACATCCAACACATTGTTTTTATACCTTAAAGGCAGCTATTAAGCTTCTCTTCTACAAAAGCAGTACCTAAACCTATCACCTACAGGTTCTATCAATGATAAAGACATATCAATTGTGTGTGTGAATGATACACTGACCACCAACTATGATCTATTGCAGGAGTGTCAAACTTCCGGGGGGCTGGATGCGTCATACCGAAACTGCGCCCACCCCATTGCCGGCAATGGAAAAAAGTCACAATATGTCATGACACGACACGTGACGTTGCAAGTTTGACACCCCTGATCTATTGGATGCATGAAGCAAATAAATATGAGACACATTAGGCTTCTAATTCTACTATGCACCCTCCCAACTGACATATATTCACATGCAGCATCAAATTTAAGATCAAAGACCTAAGCAGTCTTTTTTCCATTTAATTATGTTCGATTCTCAGAGACTTTCTGGAGAGGTCCATCTAGTTTTCTTGGAAAAGATCAGAGTGGTTTTCCTTGCCTCCTTCCTAGGGCTCAGAGAAAATGACTAGCCCAAGATCATCCAGCTGGCTTTGTGCCTAAGGCAACACTAGAACTCATGGTCTCCTGGTTTCTAGCCATAACTTACAACAAACTGGCTCTCAAATAGTTTTACACAATTCTTAACATGTTAAATGTACTTAATTCAAATATAAGAAAATTGTTTTAGAAGCAAGGCTTTCACATAATGCTTTAGCTTTCTGTTAGTTGCAGAAAGTTCTGACTATGGGGTCAGGCATTTCATTTACAAGTAATACCAACAGGGTTACACCACCATTCTACTTTATGCAAATTAAATGTGTTAAACTCAAATGCCAGAATTTGTGTCCAAGGAATGCAGACCAATAGGATTAGATGTAAATTATTATATCAGTGCTATATTCCATTTTGAAAGGCAGTTTTGTATAGGCACCAGGCTAGAATCCAGAAACTGTTTGTTCTAGTCCAGTGGTTCTCAACCTGTGGGTCGGGACCCCATTTGGGGTCGAACGACCATTTCATGGGGGTCGCCAAACAAGGCTGTCCGCCATTTTTTCCCCTTTTCTTTGGCCACGCCCCAGGGACCCAGTGATGTATAAGTGGTTGGGGGTCACCACAACATGGGGTACTGTATTATGGGGTCGCGGCATTAGAAAGGTTGAGAACCACTGTTCTAGTCCCATCTGAAGCATGAACTCAGCTGGATGACTTTGGGTTAGTCACTCTTTCTCAGCCCTAGGAAACTGGCAATGGCAACCCACTTTTGCAAACACTTTCCAAGGAAACTACAGAAACTTGTACAGGCAGTCACCAGGAAGCAACACTAACTCAAAGGCATACGAAGACATATACATTCACAATTCCCTTTTTGGATTGCCTAGAACAGTGGTCTGCAATCTTTTTGGCACCAGGGACTGGTTTTGTGGAAAACAATTTTTTCAACAACCAGGAAGGGGGATGGTTTTGGTTTCACTTGCTCGCCCATCATTCACCTCCAGTTTGTGTAGCCCGGATCCTAACAGGCCATGGTCAGAGGATTGGGGACCTCTGGTCTAGAGCTATCATCAAATTAAAGCCATCTCAGATTGCAATCCTATTTACCCTTTACTCAAAAGAAAGATCCAGTAAGTTCTGGGAACTATACATTCAGTTTTAATTAGTTAAAATATTAATCGGTATAAAGGTTTCGAAGCAACATACTTTGCATCTCCTATACAATGGGAAAATGGGTACTGTGTTTAGAATGCTTTTTGTTATGGGGCACTTTCATAGTTATTTGAATTTCAAAAATTGGAAAAGGGAAAGGCAATGTTGAATACAATAAAAACAAACTTTTAAATTAGTTCAATAGTTAAGCAACAGATTAAATATCAGTACTCTGGAATACAAATATGTAATTTTGCAGGTGGTGACAAAATGCACCTCCCATTAATTTCAAATTATGAGGCAGGTTGAGAGCGTTAGTTCAACCTCTGCAGAGCCAGAGGTGGTTGTTGTCCACCCTTGAGTTAGAGGTTTCTTTTTCACCTGCTTTCTCATCCAGACACCCATATCATAGCAAACACAGGGATCCGGAGACCAGGCCACAAGACTGGCACAGTATTCTCCTCTCCGCCCCCATTCTCCAAAGTACGCCCGGTGCTCCCTTTGCTTTTTAAGCTCAGACTCAAAGATGAAGAGAAGCCGAAGCGGCTGCACAAACTGTACAAGACCCTCGCAACTGCTCCAACAACACTGGCAAACAATCCCCCGGCCCCCACGGCCGCCTCCACCGCCCTTGTCCCACAGCAGGTCCGGGGTCTCTTCTTACTTCCTTGTCCAGCGGTCGCCAAAGTGCCCAGGACCATGGTATTCAGAGTCGAGAGGAACAAGGGGAGGCACAGCAGAAACAAGCGTCGGAAGAAACCCATGGCGACTAAAACAAGCGAGGAGGCTGTCTCCGCTCGGCCGAGCCTCTTCGGCTCCCTCTCCCTTACTTTCCAAGGCCGGAAACAATCCCGGGAGATACGCGTCCGGCACGCCCATTGCCGTGCACGCGCACTATTTTTGACGGGAGCACGCCGTGGGCGGGACTAAGCAGCTTCCGAAGAGGCGGTGCCAGAAGATGCGCGCTCCCGAAGAAGGTGGGCGGCTTCGTATTTATGCTAACAGCTGGCAGAACTGAATGTTTCGGTTGCTTTGATGTCATAAATTCTTATTTTCTTATATATTATTTACAAATACTGAAAAACAAAAGACCCGAGAGCTCGGCACAGAGCACCAGCTAATATGTTCTTAGGGATATTGATGCCACGAGTTGAACTTTATGAATGGGGCCGGGGGGAGGGATTGGCTTAAAGAAGAGCCCGAAGTTTCCAGACTGTGATTAAGGAGAAAGCAAAAGGAAAACCAGACGTTTGCCGCCAAATTCTCTCTGGTCTCTTTCTGATTTCATCTGGGCTCAAATGTCGCTCGTTCGGGGGCGGATTTGCAAAACATACTAACTCGTGTACGTAGTAAGTTAAACCAAGTAAGACTTCACAACCCTATTGAACTATTAAAACACTGGTTTTATTTTTAGCGTAATTTATAAATTCAGCCATTATGGTTTGTAAGCCATAGTTTATAGTAAAGTGTATGTTAACCAGGTTACTATGGCTTGTTCAACAAACCTGAGTAAAGTAAATTACACCATTATGGTGAACGATTCCAGGTAAATTTCTCCCACTATTCATAATGTACAACTCTGCTGCAGTGTGTTAAAGAAATACAAATCTTCATCCTATGTCCAACGTGAAGGAACTGTGGCTCTCCAACTCAACTGTTGGCTCTCAGCAGAGCAATTCACTTGTGGCTATTGAGTACTGTATTCACAAACCAGATTGCCTTTTTGGAAAAACATGACAAGGTGGGGTGGTGTAATTAAAGTAATTCAGGTTTAAACTCACTCTCATTTGGAAAGTTCACTATGGTTGGAATCTGATTCCAGCCTAGTCTCTCTCGCAGGATTGTTGTAAGAAGAAAATGTAGAGTTCTACACAGTATGCCTTGTTGCCTAAATCTCTTAGAGGAAAGGTGGAATATAATAAGTAACAAAATTAATGGGTTAAAATTGATGCTTTGTTTTTCTGTGGGGCTTCTTAAACAAACTGTGGCTCCTGAATTATATTCCTCACTTCCAGCTATCAAAATGTATCAGTGCACTAACATTGTAGGAAAGTAACCAACAATGTTGATGCTTCCTCCCAATAATTTTAACTGAAATTACTATTTCTTCCAGTTTAATTTTTTTATTATTTGTTCATAAGTCAAATTTGTGGGCAATGATTCTGGATTGTATACCATTAAAATTCACCCAGCACAATATAAAAAAGAAAGCAATAAATCTGGATCTTATCTTAAACACTTGGTCGATCCAGGTCAGGGAGATGAAACATAATTTAACACAATTTTAGCATATGCTATAGTAGGGAGAGCAAGGGGGCTAGAGAAACGTTTACTATTTTGTTACATTTTAAATTTGTGTGCAAATTTTATTTGAAATGTGTTAACTAGTATACTGCTTTCTCTAAGTGAATCTTTATTAAAAAAAATGGGAAGGGTTTCCTTAACTAAGGATGGCAAATCAATACCTAGGTTCTAAAAAGAGCATTAGGTATTTTCCTTGAACCATCTTTGCTCTCTTAAGTAATGCAACATATTGTAAATTGCAAAATGAACCTAAGCCTGTTTTCCAAAATTGAAATCTGTTCACATATTCTTGAGATAAGTCTCACTAACTACAATAAAACTCACCTCTGCAGCAACATATTAGTTGGACTATGGTTCCAAGTCAGTATATTCACTTCAATCTTTATACCTGTTTCTGAATTGAGATAAATTTAAATAATATAAATAATGTAAGTAATAAATGACCACATGATGGTGCCATAATATTGAGTTGTTTACTGAAGCATGAAAATAACATAAGTTACTGAAGTGTCACTAGTTTTTTTAAAAGTTGTAAGATTCAAATTGTTATTGTATTCATTAAGATTTTTTAGAAGTTTATTTGTGCTAAATAGTAAATAAGAGACAAAATTCTAAAGCGGAAGTATGCAATTCTGTATAAACCAAGGGACAACACAGCTTCTAAATGGCATATATGGACTGGGTGCAGCAATTTTGGTTTGATATTATTTGTATTTCTACTTCATTGAAATTATATGTAATTAATATAATTATTCCAGCCATGTATTAATACATCTCCTCTCCAGATTAAATTAAATATTACAGTGTTTAAAGTCTCCCTAAAACTTTTATGAATCCTTAGGCAGCTCAAAGCCTCTTGTGGTGCAAAATGGTAGGGAGCACACTCACAGCCAATGGAGGAACTGGAACTTCCTTGTCAGTTTGCCTTCAATACATCTATATTATGTGAGTGGTTTTGTCCCACAAATTAGCTTTTGTAAGAGTGCCCAGATTATCCTTTAAAATATTCTAGATGTGTCCATTGGCTCTAAAGCAGAGGCACTTTGAGAGGTTCTCTTGGAATTGAATTATGGAGGTCCTCTTACAATTTGGTTCTAGCCTGCCCATTAGCAGCAGCTCCCACAAACACCAAAAAGCAGAAGCTTTCTGTGGTGGTTCCCCATTTAAAAATAAACTTGATGAACATGAATATTTAGTTGCTTCAGCCAACTTGAAAAAAGAAAAATATGAGATTGTTAGGAATAAAATTTTAGAATAAAAAGTAAAGTTAAGTGACACGTACTCTGTAAAATTTATAAACGCAGACAGAAAGATTTCTACACAAAATTTCTACACGTAGACTGCAAGATTTCCACACAATTTCTACATGTACACGTACCTTGTAAGAGTTCTGCACGTAGGCTATAGGATTTCCACATTGAACTATAGGATTTCATGATAAAAGTACACATAAGGGAATAGGTGAAGCAAAATAGTAAGGGGCAGGGATAATGTATTTTGTTTAGGCGATCCTGATAAGATTGTAACCTCAGAGGAGGGGCCAAGGCGTCGGGATAGAATGTATATAATGTGTGTTTTTGCTGTGACCAGGTGTGGCTCAAATATTTATTTGGAGTCCATCACGCTTTGCAAACCGTTGTAGCCAATAAATCTCTGTCTAATTTCAACTTGCTGTTTGGTGTTATTCAGTGGGCTAGAATTTCTACCAACAAGATCCAGCTGTGAGTCAGTGTCTTTGGAACCAGAGAGTCTCCTTCTTCCTTATATTTGTAGTTTCCTTATGTTTGTAGTTTCAGTCACAAGAATGTAAAGGATATTCTATGTCCATATCTGGATATCTAAACCAGGGCTTTTCAACTGGTGGTACACATACCACTGGTGGTAAGGCAGGTGGTACACGACCCCTAGCCAAGTATAGCGGGGGAGGGAACCAGTTAAAGCGGCGCTGCACAGACCTGGAGGAGATCAGCTGGAGCTGCAGGGCTCGGCAGAAGCCCCAGGATCTGCACGTGCAGCTGCATGCTGGTTGGAGCTTCTGGCACACCCGGAAGAGAAAAGGAGAAGGAGGGTGGAGAGAGGAGGAGCTATAAAAGGAGCAGGTTCTGGTGGGAGAGAAAAAAACACATGGAGAAAGGAGAAGAGAAGAGGCTTTTGTTAGCAAAGTGATGAGGAGAGAGCAGGCAAGCGGCCTTCACGAGCGAAGGGTGAGTGAAAGTAAGTGAGGGGCTTTTGCGAGCAATGTGTGAGTGAATGGAGTGAGAAGCTTTTGTGAGCAATGTGTGAGTGAATGAAGCAAGAGAGAAGCTTGTGTGAGCAATGTGTGAGTGACTTGAGCAAGAGAAGCTTTTGCGAGCCACATGTGAGTGAATTGAGCAAGAGAAGCTTTTGTGATAACGTGTGTGAATGATAGCAAGAGAAGCTTTTGCGAGCAATATGTGAGTGAATGGAGCAAGAGAGAAGCTTGTGCGAACAAGATGTGAGTGAATGAGAGCAAGCTAGACGCTTTTGCTAGCAAAGAGTGAGGGGGTTTTGCGAACGAAGGGTGAGAGAAAAAGGGAAAAGTGGGGGGGAGAAGGGAAAAAGAAAAGAAAAGGAATTGACTTCTGAGTTCCACTCTTGCAGTAGGAAGGAAGCATTAACATTGAACCTCAACTTTTTTACTTTTCCATAATATTATAAACTAGCTATTTCTATAACAACAAATGAATCTTCCCAGTAAAGCCTAAAATCCCCTCCCTTTTTTTTTTTAGTCATCAAGTTTTTGACAACTTGCTAAGCACTGGTGGTATTCAAATATTGTTATATCCTAAAAGTGATACAATCTGTGAAAAGGTTGAAAAGCCCTGATCTAAAAGATATCTTAAGAAATATAAATGTTAATATTCAACTCTGCTAGATGGCATGTGCTTTGTAAAACTGTCTTTTAATGCAAAAATGTATTTTATTTCATCACAATTTTCCATCCTTAATTTTGTGTACCGAATCTATAGGCATGACAATAGAGCAGTGCAATCTTGCTGTGCAATTTGATACATCTGAACTGTGTTCCTACATTGGAAGTAGGTTAACATGCACTATTGGGAACATTTTTCTATTGAGCAAATAATCAATTATAAAAGATCAGAATAATGCAGGAAAAAGGGGAAGATATTCAAATCCCAGATGGATTTCAAAAACAATTGACATAATGCAGAGCTGAATTTTTTGTTGTATCTAGTTTGACCCCTATTACTGGCTAAGAACATGACAAGAAAAATTATGTTTTGTGCATGCATATCACCTTTCTGTTAAAAATGCAATCCAGGAAGTTAAAATATATATGTTATTCAAACTTGTCCTACTATTGCCATATTT